ATCTTAAATGTGCTGATAACTACAAGATGTCCTAAATTACTTTATTAGTCATTATTAGTTCTTTCAGACAGTGTTTTAAAGACAGCATGTGACTATAGTCCTAAGGCTGTTGTTGCCGTGCAGGGTTCAGCCTACCTAAAGGAAACGATTGATAGCGTGGCGCTCTTCATGCTTCGTGTCGACAGAAATTCAAATGTTCATATGACCGCAAACCTGACGGTTAATGTATCTGTCATACAATCAGTCGAACTTTGATGCTTACTCATAAATATTATTTTTCGATGTTTTCTGATTAAGGATTTCGAGGCGTATGTATGTTTGTTGATTCTTTGATAGTTTCCAAACTGATTTGTTTATTCTCTGTATGAAGGCCACAATTAAATAAACATATTAATATTTCTTCGTGGCCGACGCTCGCGATCTCGCAACTTCACACCGTCGAATTTCTCTGAACACTATTATAAAAATCATGGGGTGCGCGAGTTCGGTTTCGTAATTACGCGGCTTCCGTCTGTGTACGTCTCCGGTTTCCTGTCACCCTCTCCCTATTATAGAAAAAGCTTCCTATGAAGAGTATCTTCTTAGAAATGTCTACCTGGGCAATAAACACATCGACTCAGGCAAGTGCAAGGCAATTGTTGTCTGCGTAGCAGAAGGAATAAACTTCTTTACACCGTGGCAGAAGAAATTTCTATTTCAACAAAAAAAACATAGGTGGATGACCTCCGCCTGTGCAGCAACTGGTTGAAGTGGCCATCCCCAAATTGTATACAAGGTCATGGAGACATCAACCAGCAGCCGACAGAAGTATACCGAGCGCCGCAAAAATTCCGAAAAGCCTGTGTAGCAAAAGAATTAGTAACGTACTTCAAGTGCCTAGGCTTAGCAAACGTGGTTTGGACCTACCGAAACGATGAAACCTTATCGAACTATGAGCTTGAAATGCACTTCCGTCAGACGTAAATTACACGAATTGACGAAGATGCCACAATGGAAGATGATGATGCTGGTGATAACGTTTCACATCTCAAGTTCATACTAAAGTACCACGAAGCACTAAAACAAGTTTGAAAATTGCAAAGTATTAAGTTACTGTGGCGGAGTATAAGGAGGAAAACAAGTGAAGTTGAGCTATAAACATTATTCCTCGTTCATATTTCACAGGTTGGAATTAGAGAAATATATTAACGCATCCATTATGGGCAACAGAACGCAGATTGTACCCAGTGCGTCCTGTCTCCAAATTGGCTAACACTACCGGAATCTCAAGGGCCACCAGATATCATTTGGATTTATAATTTAGTGAAACATTTGTAAGAATAACTTTATTCGCACAGACTGTAGTATTCCCCGTTGGCGGCTCTTGAAGCAGCGACCCCCTTTCGACCAAAGACTTGGTCGCTTAAACCATTGCATCGATTTTTCTAAATGCGTTGACCTTTCATGCTGGAATTAGCACGGAGAAACCTTTATTTGCCTATTTATAAAAGAAGAATAAATATGCAGCACGCTCGTGCCCTCCTTTTGCACCTGAGTGTGTTAATGGCCTCGCATCCTCGTTGCGACAGTTCCAACCTCACCTCGTAGTGCGTAGCCTCAGTTTTCTAACGGCCTTAGAGCCCCCAAATTTCTATTCATCATCGTATTGCACTTTCTCTTTCTGGGGCTTTTGCTGACCCGATTCGGGAGCTTTGTGTAGTATATCGCCGCCTATCCACCGTACGGCGTACAGCTGGTCTCCTTTCTCCGTCAAGCTTCCGTTCCTTTCTACTACTCCTTTGCAGCCGAGCTTTTTGCGTCGTTTGCTTCAACACCCATGACCCCATAAATCATCACCTGACGTCGCTATGAATACAAACGATTGTCCTCTCTAACATATATCTCTATAATCAAACGAAAGTCGGTTGAACGGATAGCTGGCCGCTTTCCAGGCCTCGTGACTCTGTCGCTTCCACTGATTTTGTCAGGTATGGGTTTCGTTTCTGGCGTCACTGAATAAAAGATGTCTGCCCAACGAGCTGAGTCATTTCGAGTGCGGGGCTTTCTTGAACCATGCAAAAATAAGACCCTGGTCTTTTATGCTGTCAACATTTATCTCAACGCGTTACACCTGTCAACAAGTCAATAAGATGTTCAATTACTGTTTTCTTTTCAATAACTAAGTGTGATATGGTACTTCTTTCATATTATTTAGATAATGGATTGTCATTTGTCCTAAGAACTTATTCGATGGTGTACTTACTACTTTAGTTAATAACAACCGCCCTGCTGGAAAATGTGTAGGTTCATACAGGTGAGTGAGTGTCAAAATGTGGTGAATCTAAACGAGCCGCTAAAGAAGATATTATCTAACACAGGTATTTTATACAGCGCAAGATCCACATCTTATTCAAGCATTGATGGACTGCGATCGATCATTATACATATTGTTTATTTAAAAGCGCAGTCCTTTGTTGGAGCTATTAAAAAATAACATGGGATATTGAGGCAACTTCAGTGAATACGAAGTAGCGAAACAAATGTCGTGGTTTTGGAAGAATTTTATATAGATTTTACATTAATTAGTAGAATGTCAAATGACTACAGAAGAACCTACCCTAAAAAGAGCACATATAAACAATTCAACTGGCGAAACTGGTCTGTATATTTGGCTTCTCGACTTGGAATCTCACTGTATATCAAGGTGCAATAGATGAGTGAGCTCGGAGTGCATTTTTTGAAAGATTGATGGTCCCCGTGTTGGTCTAATGGGTGATATGTATGCGTGCTAGGCTGAAGCGATACGTGGTGACCCATCATATTTCAACTTTTGCCGAAATCAGCGGTTTGGTGGAATGAACCGGACGTAGTGCTCGATGCCAACAGTGATGACCTTCACTTATGCTGCTCCGACGTAACATGCAGAAAGCACAATTGGTCTTCCAATACATTCCTTGTAAATACAACTAAATTACACGAACGTGCGGTAACACTAACAGTGAATGCATGTCTTAATTTTTCATAGTTTCTATTAATATTTTCGTTTCTTAAGGCTTTTTACACGTCCACACATCAACGCTGCGGAGAAGTCTGTAAATCTTTCTCTATAATGACTGCGGGTCTGTCCATCGCCAGGACAAATTTATTCGTGTTCATCAATTGGAAAATAATAATATCACTATCGATGCTTGATTGGACAGAGAATTCCTCCAAAAAAGCCCCATGTAAATATAATTTAAGGCATGGTTTTTCTATGGATAGTCGAACGATCATATGGAGGAAATTTCCGTTTTATAGATGAAGAGAAAAACATCATATTTTAGGATCAACGTATCCGTCATTTTGTCGTGCACGCCGTTATTGGCACAATGAATCGTGCGATGGTTAAATGTAAGCAACCAGTGCTGCATCCTGTTAATGTTGTGACCCGCCTTAACTTACAGTTTAACTGGTCTGTTAATTACTGGAAAATAGCAGGCCATAATATAATAGTACGAATAATAATAACCATAATAGATTACATTGACATTCTCAGTATTAACCTAAAACTAGCATTGATCTAAAAGGAAATAACATATATAAAACCCGATTTTTACCCAGCAGCTATACTTAGGAAAAACCAATAAGGCATTAGCGTTTTTGGCTGCTTACTAAAAACCGTTGCCAACTGAGCAACCTTGGAACATGACGGAATAACAATTACAACATATTTACATGTCGTACAGATACGAATGGCCCGTTTCTACATGTGACGTCAAACAAGGCCACCTCGAACGCCTCTTGCCGCTTTGTCGTGCTGCGAAGAGACATTTCCACGGTTCCTTTGGCGGGCTTTTCCGACGCTTTGTTTTTCTTACCGCCACGAACGTTGCTGTTGCTAAATGGTTCCATTGCCACGTCATATATTATTTTTCTCTCTATCACGATGAGCTGTTCCTGGCTACTCAATATCAGAAGGCGTCGTGCATCAGATTGTCTGACTTAAATTGACGGAGGAGACGCGGCAAACATACTAGAAGGTGAATAATCTGGAGGCGCCCGATTAAAACGACGCGATATTACTTCTAAATATTTCTAGGAAAAGACTGATTTGAATGAGCGTTCATGCCTTTGAAGAGAACAGTTGAAACTGTGAGAAAGATTTTATTTAAATAGCTAGTTCCGACGTCTACGATATACTAGACGCAGGCACTTTACAAATCAATAATAATCTAGAAAATGTTCTAGCTGAATCATCTGGACGAGCTTATGACGGTAGCTGGAAGAGCAACGTGTACTTAGTTAATAAGCGCTATTCCGGAATACAAGAAAAACGTACATTGTAATCAATTGATTAAGTAAATTTATTAAAGAACCGAAACCTTTCAGGACCCATTTCCGGCTAAGCCCACTGCGGCAGTGTATACAGGTACACCACGAGAAGGAAACTTCAAAAAATTACTGCGACCTTTATGCTTCGTACTACTTTTGGCAACTACTAGTCTTGGCCGTACCGCTCTTGGCAACAGTATCATGGTCAACATAATTTCGAGTTGGGAAGGTACCACTTATACTATGGTGTGGTATAGCAGGACGATCTTAAAATGCGTCTTGAGCCCTATGAATCGTACCATTATCTCGAACACAAACAACCTACTTTGCCTACCCGATACAATACCTATATATTCAATAATACATGATATTTTTCATATGTGAAACTACTTATGTTGATTGGCTACTATCTCTTGGCTAGCAGTAGTAAATATGTTTAATTACTAAATGCTTTGATTTCAATAAAACGATTTTACTTGTTAATCATCCCTAGTGGGTATTACAACATAATCTTAGCCTATCAAGTACTGTGCCGTCGTTTCTTTTATGCTCCCGCCTGTTTTCTGTCTCTTGGCGCCCATGTGGGGAACTTGCCAGGGTAGTTCTGTATTCTGCGTGCGTTCCCTCTCCCACATGAGAGAGGGAGTCGACTGCCGACTGGCGTTGGCGAAGCAGTCAACTTTACGAAGCTGGTAGTGCGCGATCGACGATTCAGATGGGTCTAGCACAGTGACGGGTGATGATCGTCCGTGAAAAAGCATCCCGTAAAATGAAACCCTACTGAATGGAGAGTTACGCTGTGCCAATCATCAGCGTCTTCGTCTAGTTACGTTCATTCGTCTTCATTGCTTTTTCCCATATGGCCCATCGGAGAGGTTTCGAGTGAAAGAAGTTTTCTGGTAGACTCAACAGCATTCGCCGACGGTAAAAACGTAGAGAAACATCATATATGCTACGCGCGCTGTGCATTTTTGCGGCGTGGAGTACAGACGTGAACTGGTCTAACTATACATTGAAAGCGGTGCCTAAAAAAACTCAACAGTGTCAATTATTGAAAATGATTCGGATTACACTCCTCATACTCGTGCTCAGCGTTGTCCTACAAGGTATGATTGAGTCAGCGTAGAAATAACGGAAATTATTTAAGCGTTCATTGTTCTTGATTTAGACAGGCGGGCGGGCGGGCGAGCGGGCGGGCGGGCAGGCAGGCAGGCAGGCAAGCAAGCAGGCAAGAGTGGGTTTTATCTGACAAGTTGTTCTATGCGTCACGCATGACTCCTCTGGGGTAGGGTGAAGCACAGGACCCGTTGACACTTCCAAAATACAGGGTCATTATGTATGAGAGAACAGAATAATAACAGTGTACCTGATTCTCTAAGATTTGCACGCCTTCATATCTATACCGTGTCCAAAATCGCTGCTTTGCCATCATACTTTACGATGTTTTTTTGAGAGTAACCGGCACATTACGCTAGAATTTAATAACTTCCGGTTCATAAGTCGATAATTACTTTCTGAACTTCGCTAGTACTGGGAAAAAAGTAAGCGGTGCTACTTTCACAAAAAGCTGGCAAAGCTTCTACCACTAATATGAAGAAAAGTTCCTTTTACTATAATCTCCAAAACCTTCACTTTAGGTAACAGTATTGGCAATCGCCTTAACTCTGTATATGACCAACCCAATCCTTGTCAATACGCTGTACCAGTAGCATGGTCACAGGAAATTTCACTCCTTAAACTACTCTCAAGCTAATACAGATTGAACAAGCTATAATGCTTCGGAAAAGGTGTTTTTTTACCTCTAACTAATCAAATAACAGCAACAAATTGGGGCCTATCACAACCTAGAGGAATCACGGCATAGTCTCAGTGTTGAACTATGGAATTGAACCAGCTAAATGAGATGAGTTCAAGTAATACGGCTCGGATTATGGCATTTATTACCTATTTTTATTTTCGTATGGAGGTACGAAGATGGAATCAACTATACGAGAATGAGAGTAATATAACGTTGCATTAGAAGAATACATGCATCAGTAACTTTTGTATTTACTACTGCTCCACATAAACTTCAGATCGATGTAGTCGCTGATAAATATTTCACAGCTAGAACCTGTTTTCATTGACTTAACGCTCTCTCGTCCTTTGCCGACCTCTAGTTCGAACTTAAATATCCGTATCGTAATTATATTGTATAAAAAACAGTGGTAAGATATTGCATCATCTAACTGCGCTCTTTGTTCGTGCTGCCATTCTGATAAATTTCTGTTTGTCTTTTCTCTTTCAAGCTTGCACAGAAGTACCGTGTTCGGACAAAGGAACATGCAGTAAGCGTTAGCAATCGTACTTATCTGCCTGTTTATATAATATCTTTATATGAATTATTTAAATTACTGTTATAACGTTAAAGTACTACTTAAAATTATCAACATTTCACCTACTTCAATATATTATTCTAGATACGGCTTAATTGAATACACTTTGTTAATATCGTCGATACTTCTTTGTTACTCCCTTAGAGGCTCCGCATGAATGTGGTATGCTGTTATTTTTATAGACGTGTAAATTTAAGCGATACCGAAAAAACATGTTAGCACTCGTTACAAGACGCCTACGAAGGGCTTTCGTGAACAAACACAGTGTGTTAAAATTCAGTGAAGTCATGCACTATTTGAGTGACCTAAAGATTTTCAGGATTAGCGTTAAAGAAATATGGTTCCATGTCCTATACACGCCAAATCTGAAATGTTGCCTTAATTAGTAACTGTTTTCTATGTCTTATTGAGTGTAGTAAGAAAAAATATCCTGGATTCAAGAAACACAACGCACCAGGTGGCGCCTTGTCGATAATACGATTTATCGTGGCAACAATGGAATTACTACCAGCAATACAAACGGGATCTTCTTGCAACGAAACAGAGCTTTTCGTGAACTCACTCTGACGTACTAACTGTGTACATAGATCAATGCGTCACGGGGAAAAGTGGCGACTGCCTATTCATGCATTTTGAAAAAGTATTCATAGATTTGATGGACCTTCCTCACTTGACCACTTACAGCAGTCGCTCGATGCACTACCTTACTTCGATCGAACTAGTTACATGAGGTATACAACATTACACTGTCCGTATCTTATTTTTATCTACTGTGAATATCAAATATGAGCCGAACAAGCAAGAAATGCGTTCACTCATTTACGTGAACGCATGTATGTTTCCTTCTGCTTATTTATCAATCGTTGATTGTTCATCTAGACCGGCCGGTTAAGTGAAGTAACGATAATTGTAAAGTTCTTACAGACAGGAAGTGCATCATTTTCTGTTCAAAATGAAGCACCACGGCGACGACAGCGCCATACAAATCAATACGAACAATCGTATGACATGGCAGAAGCCAAGTTAATATCAACAGTCGCGCCGGGTGGCAAAGTTTCTGTTCTGGCAGTAACGCCACTTTAAAACGACGCTGTTCCTGTCGTATCGTAGGCGCCCCAAAGACGCTTGAATGAGATTATTTCTTTTCGAGCTATTGCCGGCGATGCACGCAATATTTTTTGAGAGGCGCTGTTACTACAGCTCTACAGCCGTGGTAAGTGTCCTTGTTCATTCGCTGTTCACTGCCACTATCAACAATACTGTTGTTTGAGTTGTCTTAACGAAACGGGGTCGTGCCGAAGGCGGGCCGTCGAACAACGGTTCGCAATGGCCTGCTCGTTCTCCGCTAGGTGCTGGATCTGTTCATGAATTGGAGAAGCCATAGCAGCAGCTGATGCTGCCGCCTCTAGCGTCGTTGCCGTCGTCAATAAAACCAGCAATCAATATTTAAGTGCTGATACCTGTTTCTTGCCTATATGCCCACCCTTTCCTCACCCAAGTTATTCTGTAGCAGCTGCAAAATTTGCAGTCTCAGCTAACAGTCCCGTTGTTTCTGGTGAGCTGTTTGTGGGTCTTTTATTTAACGACAGCAGCACTTCCGGGAAAAGGGGAGCGGGGGGCAGCTGAAAGGCAAGAATATATCGAAGCCTCCTTGTCAGGAGGCTGTCCATGCGTGGGATCCTCCACAGTTTGTTGAATGTAGAGTTGTCCTTGTTCGTAGAGCTGTTGATGCTACTGTTAACAGAGTTGTTTGAGTAGTTGATTAATTCTGTTAACAGAGTGAGGTTTTTGGACTTGCCGCATTTAGGTTTAGTCACTGACCTCTGATAATTACGGAAGTTCCATAGCTGCGTGCTAAACTTCTTGACTTACTGAGCGAAGTTAAAAGTCTACGCGGAAACCAGATGCCGGCAGTCTTTCTCGTATTCTAGACACGTCATATGTATTCAGATGCCCTGTTGAGGTTACACGAGAGTTTTGCTTAAGCTTCTTGTAACAGCTATGATGTTATATGTCTATGATTTTGCGGCGGCGGTAAAATTGATGATTTATATGAATGATGCAGCTACCGACCTGACATGAAAATCATCTCATGCGTTACCGGTACGGTACACCGGATTTCGTGATACTCGAAAAGTTTTTAATAGTTTAGCGAGTGAACTTTAAATTATTTGAATATACATATAGGTAAAAAAAGGAAATTTCGGACTGATGATTCAAATAAGTTGTGACCCCAACAGCTAGTAGCGTCCGAAAATTAGTACAGCCAGTGAAGCTCGTTGAGGTTGACGTTTGAAGGCGCTGGTGGGCATTGAGTTGTAACTTTCCAACAAAATAATTTCCGCAAATTTATAAACGATATGACAAATTTCTATATAAAAATTTGAAAATAGCCGAACTTTTGCTCTCTTACCGCAAACTCGTGCGTGTGTCAACTTTATTATTATTATTATTAATTATTATTTATATTAATTATTGAAATGACAATTTACATTTCAACAAGCATTTTACCGATTGCTCCAAGAATGCGGACGATATGGATCAGCTTATTGGCTACCATGACACTGAAAAGTTTATTTTCACATACCAAAGTTACATTGACTAACGGTAATAACAATTCGGTAACGTGTGAACTTCTGTTATTGTGTTTTCTGCAGATAATGGTTATCTCCTTGAGAAGTATTCAGAAAAAAAACATCGCTGTAGCCAGCATGACAGTAGAAATTAAATAGAAAAGCTTCGCTATACAACCTCAATGCAGCCGGTATTTAAACGTCCTAATCAAGGCTTAATGTGAAAAGTTCACTTTTATGCATATCTGAACATAAATAATCACAGAACCATAAGCTACTTCTGCTGTCTTCGTGCACCTTATGGCTTCTGCAACAACACATCGGCAAAAGAAAATCACTTCTCGCCTCATTTTTTTCATTACGCTCGTTCACTATTATAATATGCAGCTTTAGCAAATCCTTAGACTGTGCGTACAATCTAAATGCGTCGGCCGACATCCACTCAATGACTATTTTTAAACAATAACAAGCAACAGGAGCCCTGGCAGCGGCATTTGCTTTTTTATTCACGTCAACGCACGACTATATTAACTCTATCGTTCTATAGATCTCGCGCAATTCCTACCCCTTGGCAAGAATAGCGCCGATTATATAGGCACGGTCATCCATACGCACTACGTACACGTCGTGAAAAGTACCTGGCAATCTGTCAGCCCCAGCGAGGACCTTGTGTACCATGCGCCCAGAAATGACAAACGCCCTTGAAGGTAAACGCTATATATATAGACAGCTAGGTCCGACATCGATGGCGTGCAATGCTTACTACCACGGTAGGGGTCAAGTCGTAATTAGAAGATTTTGGTCGCAGACATCCGGCGTGAATACTGCTGTTACAGTGCGTAAGTCATCATGAGCGCCATTTTGTTGCATGAACATGTTTATTTAGTGGGCAGTACCCGCTGGCTAGATGAAGTCGGTTTACGTGTTAAAAGAGTAATTTGGTCAAGAGATAGATTGGTCTAAAGATGACGGCTTGAGGGGCGGCAGGCAAATGAGCTTTAGAGACTGCATCCATCAGTGTAACGCAGTGGCGTTTTTCCATTATGTGCATTCAAAACACGTTTGTATGAAAATAATCTGTGTACGCCTGCGTTCGCATGCAACAATAACTCACTGTACTTCGACTGTACAATGATAGGCCTTCACGGCTCACACAGATCGCTTCGCCAATTTCGCGAAAAGACGGTCGCACCCCGAACAAATACGACTTCCTTTTCTTATAGTTCCGTTCTAATTTTTTCGGGGATGACCGAGGCAGTGCCGGATTGCAGCACGCAACAGGCAAAGCCGTCTTCGGCACTTTGGCGGGGCCTCGTAACTATGCTTTATCGTTAAATAGATAAAAACAAGTAGAGACCGTAGTTCGGCTCAAGGTCTTCTGTGGGCATATGTATTGCGTGCATAAAATCGATATAATTAGAAATGGGAAAGCTTAATGACTATGTAGCCAAATTAGAGGACTAGAGTAAATTAGCGGGCGCTTTGATACCAAATCAGCGACTCTGGTTCATGCTGAGCGATCGATAGCAACGATAGGCTAGAGCGACAGAGAAAGGTGTCTAGAGTTATTTTGTTTTTCGCGGCTATTTAGCATTGATTGACGTTGCGGACGAAGTCAGAAGACATTTGAGGGATAATGTTATTTGCTAAAAATGGTATTAAGTTCAAAACTTTTGTCAACAAGATATGAACTGAGTTCGTGTAACTTAATAATCTTTGACGAGCACTTCCCGTTGCGTTTGTCTTCTGCATAAGGTTTTTGTAACTTTCATCCGTTCCATTCAACCTTCCGCGTGTTAAGCTTCAGTTTAAAAATCCGGGAAAAAGCAAAGTCCATTCAAATTACGAATAGTCTTGTTAAGAGTCTCTCTTTGGAAGGGGATACTTCAGTGTTTTTTCCCACCTAAAACATTCTATTAAATACATGATTCGAGTGATACGAACCTTTTTTAGAGGTATCAGGGTTGCTCTGACTAAAACTATGATAAACATAACGTTTGCACAAACAGTACAGATAGAAAATAAACAAATAAGACTCTCAAGTCATCATAATACGAATAGAGAGTTTTGTGAACGAATACAGAATATATCTTTCGTAGTCCCGCCCAAGTTTACCAGGGCAATTTTGCTAAATGGAGCAAACAGTTTACTATGAAAGAAAGTCTCTCTACAATATATGAATGAGTTAAATATTGTTAGCATAGATTGTTTTATCATGCAGACAAGCTCTATCACGGCACCATATATATTGCCTTTCCCATATTGCTTAGGGGGCAAATTGAAATAATTCCTTGCGGGTCCCGTGATAATCGATCAACGATATCACCAACAATCTTGAAGTCGGAATTATGGGTGTTCTTTATCGTACGACCGATGCTA